CTGCTAACGACCCAGGAGATAATCCCGTGGTGCCTAGGGATAGGGCAGCTGAGGAGAGCCAGGCAGAGACCACCAGGGCAGTTTGGCACCTAGTGGTATGCTGCTTCAAATTGTTTAGAAAGAGAATAATACAGACACGTAGTTTCCTGCAATTCTGCTTATTAATGAAGCAATAAATTAGCCTGTTATTACTGGGAACTTTCCAAGTATCCTGGAAACTGTTGAAAGTATTGCAAAATCCCAAAAAAGACATCTAAGTCATAACTTCTGTCTTCTCTGTATAGTTGGGACCAAAAAAGAAAAAAAACAAAAAAACAACCTGGTTTAGCAACAACAGAGAATGACAAAACCCAGATAATCTGGCCTGTAGAAACCCTAATACCTACCTGAAGTAAGTTTGGGTTTGAGACTGCTGTCTTTTAATAGAAATTTTGTAAGCAATACTATGAAAATGTCCAATGTAAGAAAAGATACAAAAAGCTATTCAATAAGAGAAATGGACGCTAGTAAAAATAATAATAATGGCTACTATTTCTTTAAACTCACTTAATTCAGGTACTACTTCATCCTTTTTCCTGCATTACATTAATCCTTGCATGAATCGTACAAGAAAAAAAGTATTCTCACTGCCATTTTATGGGTGGATAAATTGAGGCACCAGTTGATTAATCTGTTTACGGCTACATGGATAGTTCTAGGTACCTAAGCCAGGATTTTTATCTGGAAAGTCTTGCTTTAGATCTGGCTTAATCATGGTGCCAGAGTATCTTCTTAAATATAAGTGATAGAGCTACTGTTTTCTGCTGAAGCTAGCAACCTTGGGAGACTGCATAGCTCTGAACAGAATTTTTGCCGTCAGTCATGTAACAGACATCAAAATAAGAGTCACTACTCAGACTAAAGCAAAGTGACTGATGGGAGTGGTGGAAAGTCTTTGATCCCACTTTGCCCCGTGGAAACAGAAGCGTTTCCATACGTAGACTCCCAAATCTTCTGGAAGGCAGACCATGTGCCATTTCAGAGTTTTATCCCTACAGTAGCTGTGCTTCAGTGCAAGAAGGGTAGTGTCTTTCCCTAGTGGGTGCAAATAAGAGAAAATGACTTGGTTTAGGAGCTGACATTGGGATTGATGATGAAGGGCTTGGAATTAGGAAGAGATCATAAATCCATAGCATTCTCCACAGGCAATGCTACAGTCATCATATATGCAGCATTGTTTTGACATAAAGGGGAGTGTTTTTATTCCGGTGGCACACCTGCATTCCCAGCACTCAGGAGACTGAAGCAAGACACCATGACTTGGAGGCCAGCCTGGGGTACATAGTGAGAACCTTCATTCTTTTTTTTTTTTTTTTTTTAAAAAGTGTTAGGGATTAGAAATGCAAAAATAAGCTTAATGTGTTCTCCCTATCTCTGTCATTCTTTTTTTTTTTTTTTTTTTTAATTACAGAGATTGAACTCAACCTTGCACCTGCCAGGCAGGCTGTTATGCCACTGAACTCTCTCCCTGGCTCTACATAGTGAGTTAGTGGGCTAAAGACCAGCCTGAACTATATACCAAGACCGTGTCTCAAAACAAATTAATGAAATGCACATGCATTTCAAAGTGTTATCAGTATAAAATTCATGGTACTTTTTGACATGAATTTTAAGTAGCATGTGCATAAAAATAATTATTAACACAATTGGAGGAAACAATCTGAACATTTTTTAAACATAAAAAGTCCTTTTGTATTTGGAAAGGTTAAAACATTTGTCCAGCACAGTAGCGTCCAAACTCTTCAGAGCTTCCATAACTAAAAATAAAGCTCTCTCCATACACATATATTTATTTCAAAGTGTGTATCACTGTATCAACATATTCTAAAATATTGTAAAGTAGAAAAAAGAACAGGATAAAAAAGACAGCACAAACCTTTTGATTTTTTTACATCTCTTGGCATCTTACATACCTACAGGAAAGTATGTACCCTACTTTAGAGACCAGACTGGATTCTGGAAAGGTGAAAGGAGAGATTTTTCCCCCCAGGGCTTACTTTAAAGTATAATAAACAGTTTTAAATCAAGATCCTTAATTCAGTTTACATAGGCCCCATTGGTCACCAGCTGGACTTTTTCATTAGAAGGCCTCATGTGGGGCCTGGGAATCAAGGAACTGTTTCATTAATTAGCTGCTGAGTTTAGAGGAAAAGTATTCCTCCAGGAGAATTCACCACCAGCCCCAGACACTGTGGCAGGGGAAAGGTGGCCTGAAGAGCTTTGGGGAGCTTCTCAGAGTTACTTTCTCAAATATACTTGTTTTGCTTTCTCTTCTGGAGCCCAGAAGGAGTGTTGTGTTTGCTGATGTGAGGCATTTTCTTTTCTTCTCTTTTTGGTTGCTGTTGTACTAAGTTTGAACCTATGGCTTTGCACATGTTAAGTGAGTGTTCCCCAACTAAGCTATATTCCCTATGCCTTTCCAACATTTATTTTATTTTGAGCTAGTTATGGTGGCACATGCCAGTGATCTCAGCACTCTGAAAGGCTGAGATGGAAGGATCGGAAGTTTGAGCCTGGCCTGGGCAATTTAGTGACTTCGTGACTCTGTGTCAAAATAAAGAGGAGTTGGAGCTCAGTTCAGAAGCCCTGGGTTTAATCCCCCCAATACTGAAAAAAAATATTTTGAGATGGTCTAGCTGCCCTAAGTTGCCCAAGTTGGCCTGAAACTTGAGACCCTCCCTCCACAGCCTCTCCAGGAGACTGGGATTCTGCTGTGGTCCTGCAATGGTGCACGGGCCCCACAGTGCTGCTCCCTGTTCACCTTTCTCCTCTAAGCCTGCAGGACATCACCTGATTTTGGTTGCTGCGCTCCTCCCTGCTGGTTGTGGGCCACACATATTTGATCAAAAGACTACTCCCTACTTTACTGTCTTGGTTTATAAAGTAGCAATACTAGCTTCTGATGTCTTAGCAGAGTTTTCTGTCAGATTACTAGTTGATACTTTTATAACCTATACAAGCTCCCAAATACCTGATAGATACAATCCAACCTGCTCACTTTGTCATCTGCTATGGTCTGAATATCTCCTTTCTCTTCCACCTTTTCCATCAAAGGACAGCAAAAAAGCCTAGTTAGATGCTATGACTCAATCTTGGACTTGTTGTGTTCTAGAACTTTGAGAAATAAATATTCATTCCTTATAATTACCCAGCCTTTTGGATATTGTGTTACCATATCACATATAGAGAGGACCCAGGACTTGGTTGTGCATATCAAAGCATACTTTACATATCATTAAATTCAGACTCCTTCAGACTAGTCTTCTCTTCCTAAGGCTCCCGCAGTTGCACAGCCTCACACACATGTGTACACATGTGCATGTGTGCACACACATTGGCACACTCACTCACTTTCTCATGGCCATAGGCTGCTTACTGTACATGGAAACCCTGCCACATCTTCATTTCAGAATCCTACTCACTCTTCAGAAACAAGACGAGTCCTACTTCATCTGTCAATATTTTACTGTCCCCGTGTTTCTCCAAATGTGGCCCTCCGACAGCTTTGGTACTGCCACCGAAGAATTCTCAGTTACCACCTGAGACCTTGGTGCTCACTGTAAATGTGAATTCTCAGTTTTACTCCTGTGCTTGTAAGCTGCAACTCTTGGCAGTGAGGCCCAGGAATCTATGCAGGGCAGCTTGAGGCACTGTTGTCTGCTGGGCTGTGGCCCAGAATGCAGCTCCCTTTTTAACCAGAGTCTGTCTCTTCAGGTAAGACCTATTGAAAAGATGTCTCTGGGTGGTCTTCGGAAACTAATTGGCTTCAGGCTTAAGCCTTTGTTGCCTTTTGTTGTTATAAATGAAAGTACAATATTAATGAGGCCCTCCACCTTCAGACACCAATGGCAAATCATTTCAAATTATCCCAGTTGCTGTAGATTTGTACCCATGCTGTGAAACCAATCTCTAAAGGCCAAAGACAAGATAAGCAGTGTGGAATGGAGTTAGAACTGTGGAGTAAAGATTGGAAGTGCACTGGGCCTACTTGGCAGGCGTGACAGTGTTTACCGATCCCTCAGCACCTGCAGGAGGAGGACTCAATTCCAATGTCAGCCATCGTTTTTACTACAATAGAACAGAACTGAAGTAGTATGTTCTCTGATGGCTTTTATTCCTCAGGGCTTCTTCTGTTTTTCAGTCAGGAATGGGAAAAAGACATGAGTTAAGCTAAAAAATGAGGAAGTAGTACTATACACTGGATGCCCCCAAGTTTACTTCTGTTAAATAAATAAAGAGCATAAGTGCCCAGGAACAGCAGCCTTTAGTTAGAAAACAGGGAGAAAGCCCTACCAGTTATGTCCTGTGTTCCCTTCATCTTTTTAGCGAGGCGTCTGACTGCATTAAGACATTGGATTCTTTGTGTGCATGTGTATGTGTGTGTGACCAATTAGTACCACCAACTTCATTTTTGATTAAAAAAGTCCCAGATGGAAATAATTGCATTCATAAGCCCTTGTATTTATAGAACATCTTTTTCCAGAAAGCCCATAGCGCAGCACTCTGTGGCATAAACTAGTTCATTCCTGGATTATCCTGATGTGCATAGTAAAGAGCAGTGTCTCTAACCATTGTCCTTTGCTGTTTGGAGGATAAAGAAGCTTCATGGGTTGAGAGGGTCAGATGACATTAGCAGCAGAATTGGAGAGGGGACATGCAGGTCCCACTTCTTTTTATGTCAGTAATTTCCAAATTGAGGTCCACAGATGTTTCCAGGAAGGCTTGCACAAGGACTACTTGTGGGATTAAAATTAGAAATTCCCAGACAATTCTACTCCATTCCTCCAACTCAGTAGGCCTGGGGTGGGGCCCAAGAATCTGTATTCTTTACAAGCATTCCAGATAATTCTGATTCACAGCCAAACTTACAAAGCAATACTGTAGACAACTCCCAGAAATGTCTTTGACTGGAACATGCCCTTTTAATCTCTCTTCTTGATGCTCACTCTTAACTTTTGCAGGCCTCCCAGCACAAGCCAAAAAACATGCTGAATCCGCCAAGAATACACTCTTGACGTGGAAGGGAAAAACAACCTCACAGAAGGAGAAAAAGGAAATCCTAGAAGCTCTGGTCGTGCTCTACTACACTCTGGGGGCGGCCTGGCTCCTACAGAACCAATATCCTTTCCTTCCTGGATGGGTCTGGTGATCAGAGTCACAGTCCGCACTTGCTGAATGGTCACCCCACAGGGGAGAATAAGAGATGAAACCATGCTATTGTAGCTGCATTCCAACATTGCAGGCCTTCAACATACATCTATCCACCTAGAAAGGTATGCATTTTCCTCCCGTATCTGTTCATGGAAGCCCCAAGTTGAGCCCCAGGAGGGAGTTAGTTAAAAATTTCCAACTCTGATCCAATCTTCATTGTGCACCCAGTTAATATTAGTGATGCAGGTAGTGGTGTGGTTAGTAGAGGAAAGGAGAGCAAGTGATAATTTAGAGCCAACTGTGATAGACTAGGCTGTACAATTGTGATTCTCTGGACAACTTTAAGGACTACTGCTGCACAGGTCCTACTCCAGAGATTTTGATTTTGTAGCCCCCTATGTGATTATAATGTGCAGCTCAAACCCACTGATTTAATAAATTCCTGATCATTTTGGTTTAGTTTTTCTTTTTTGAAGTGCTATTGAGAACATTGCCCGTGAAGCAGAAACCAACCAAATTAGACAAAAAGCAACCATTCTATATAACCTCGAAGGAGGACCGTGGTGTATGCTGTGTTGTCAGCTTTCTGTCACTATGGCAAATCCCTGAGATAATCAGCTTTATAAAGAGAGAACTTGTATTTTGGCCCAGAGTTTTAGAGGTGTCAGACCATAATGTCAGCCTCTGTATTTCTGAGCCTATAGCAAAGCAATGTATTACGGTGGAGCACACAGCAGAGCAAAACCCCTCACTTCTGCGCCAGTGAAAAAAAAGAGAAGAGGGATTTCCAGTCCTAGTTTTTGAAGGAGTCTCCACACTGATTTCCATAATGGTTGCGCCAGTCTACATTCCCACCAGCAGTGGAGAAGGGTTCCTTTTCCTCACAGCCTCTCCAATGTTTGTTGTTGGGTGATTTCTTTATGGTAGCCATTCTTTCTGGGGTGAGATGGTATCTCAGTGTGGTTTTAATTTGCATTTCATGGATGGCTAGTGATGTGGAGCATTTCTTCATATATTTATTCACTTCTTTAATTTCATCCTCTGAGAAGTGTTTGTGCATCTTGGATGCCCATTTCAGCATTGGGTCTTTAAATTTTGGGGCCCTAGTGTTTTTTAGTTCTTTATAAATTCTAAAGAGCAGACCTTTGTCTGAGTGCTTATTAGTGGAGATTTTTTCCAAATTTCTGGACAGAATATCATGTCTGCATCTTGTACAATGAATAACCACTAAGACAACAATGTGCAGTGTATTCATTATTGAAACTGTGCTAATAATCAGTTTTGAAACTGTCTCATTGCTATTTCTCAATAAAAATATTTTTTAAAACAAAAAAGAAAAGAGGAAGGGAAGGAGATCCCACTGTCTCCTTCAAGGACAGCTCCCAATGCCTTGTAACGTTTCCAGCACCTCCCAGTAACACTGTGCTGGAGGCCAAGCCCTTACCACATGGACATTTTGGGAAACCCTAACGCCCAAACTTGTGGTAGTACTTTTGTTCAAGAAGTTTGTGATCTTGACAGCCTTGCAATATTGTCACCACTTAAAAGATACTAGTGACATGTCACACTCACAAATAATAAGGAGCACTCTGTGCCTATGTGTGTCGAGTCCTTTCTCTCTACACATCCCCCTCTGCCTTTTTGGTTCTGTTGCTCACTTCCAAAATGTGGTGTGGCCTTCTGCATTATACTCTTAGCAAAGGGGTCTGTGAAAAACGTGGGAAATAGAAACATTTGGAAATTAAGGGGGTTTCTCTCCTGCAGTTTGCATCTGACCAAAAACCTACTCTTTTTGTATTTTAAAAAATGATCCAGAAAGCCCCTTTCAGCACAATTACTTCCTCTCTTTTACCATTCTTACAAACAACTTGGGAAAAATGGGCAACTGCTGCCATACAGTAGATGCCTCTTATGGAATCGTAACTTACATCTTCACTGATTCAAATCCTCAACATCCTCTCCAGATATAGATTCAGACAAGTGCTAAAAGAAATCTAAGATCTTGTTTTTTGTCGAGAGAGTTCTTCCTTCTCGACATACACCCATGAAAAGTAAAGAACATGGTTAAGTACTCATTTTCAAATACTGTATTACTTTTCCAAATGACCATTTCATTTGTATATCACCTGTCTCTATGCAGTAGCAGTTAATTTGTGTGCCTGGCATTTCCTTTGACTGTTTTCACTGGCAGAGAGGCCTATTTCAACCTGCAGAAGGCATACAGAAACATAAAGGAGCTGAAAGAATTGAATAAGGGAAATGTTTGTGAATTACGGGTCTCAGAGAAAGACCTAACAATTGCACTGGGCAGGTAAGATCTGGACACAGCAAAACTGAAGCTTTATAAATGAGGCCTGGAGTTACATGATGTTCTGTATTCTCTCTATAAAGGAGAAAACTAGTCAGAGTAAGAAAGCGAGAAACTCAAAATGATAAGAGAGACTCACATCTGTCAAATGGATTCTGCTTCGAACTTACTTTGTACTGCTGCACTTAATCTTCACCTTTGACATAATTGGCCTGGTTATGATGTCAGTAAAGAGGGCAAGAAGACTAAGTCTAAGGTCAAAAGGTGACCTCAAAAGGTGACTTGTCTTAAAGTGTTAGATCTATGATCTAAACTCATCAATCCTTTGCCATTCCTTGTACTGCCTCTCTCACTTCTTCTAGGATTAATTATGTTGTTTTCTGAATCAGATACTGGTTTGCCCATCTTAAGAGTATAACATCTTAGTAGTGTGAAATCATAAGAGAACCGAGGAACACTTGAGATGAGAAATTGTAAGTCAGGAAAGCTATGCATAGCACATGCATTTTTAAGGAAATTTCTGTTGTATATGGAAACAAAGTTCATGGAATTTTCTCAGGCCAGAACAATACTTAACTGTTCCGTAGTTAAGTTAGGGGTCCTCTGAGAATAAGAATGTTAGAAATGAGAGTGGGTCTATGAGGTTATCAGAGAGAAAGAAAGAAAGAAAGAAAGAAAGAAAGAAAGAAAGAAAGAAAGAAGAAAAATGACATCATCAGCATCTTATGATTGATGGTATTGGTCTTGATGCCTTGGTTAAAGTAGAGCCTGGAAGATTTCCTCACTATGAAATCATTATTTTTACTGTGGTGAGCTCTAAGTATTAGCAATGCGACTCCAGGATAAGCTCACTTTCAAGGGACGCAAAATTAAGCTGTTTCTTGGAAGGAAGAGGCCCCAAATCTTTGTGCTCATGTATTGAAACTACAAAAAAAATTGAGAAAAATTTAGAAACCAGGTGAAAAAAAAAAGAAAGAAGGAGGAAGGGAAGGGAAGGAAGGAAAGGAAGGGAAAGAAGGAAGGAAAAAAGAAAGAAAAGTTTATTATTTCCCACATTTTTAAATACCTTCACATCCTTCAAATCAATGTGTTTCCAAAACTGTAACCACTTGGCGTATTAGAGCCGATGACCAAATGGTGCATAATGTATCGTGTCTGGCTCCTGTAAACAATTCTGAATCCTAAAGTCAAATGGAAAAGGATGGGGAGTTGTTGGAATGCCCAGAGCTAAATAAAACCATTGACTGAAGTCCATAGGGTAATAAATTAGAGTCTGGTGAATGTCTATGGCTGTCACACTGGGCAGTGATTAGTTGTTCTGCCCCATGTGAAAGAAAGCCTTGTTCCTTTGTCAGAAGAAATTCTAGCGCTTGTTTATTGAGTACTTACTTTGTTCATGCACTGCTCTAAGTGTCGGATGCTAATTAACTTTAACTGTTTACTAGGTACCATTCTAAGTACTTTCCTAACTTATTCAATCCTTCCCTTAGCCTATGAGAATGCCTTTTATTATTTTCTGTTTTACGGATAAAAAGTTAAGGCTCAAAAAGATTAACTCATGGGGACAGAACTAATAGAAGAGTTGGGCTTTTAACTGGAGCATCCTGCATTCATAGCTTACCTTCTATTCCACGCTGAGTGATGTTTAATGTTGACCAAATAGCTAGTAATCATAGGTACATTTTTTGATTTAGAGGGTAGGAAAACTAAGGTAAGAATATTTAGATCAGAAACTTGCTAGGATTTCCCTATAAGCTCCTAAGGAGAGCCATTACCATTCTGTATTTCTGCTCTTATGGTTAAGGGAAATAGTGTCCTTTTAAAAATTATTTATTTATTTATTACTTGTTTTAAAAAATAATTTTATTTAGAAACAAATAACAATGAGACAGTTTCAAAATTGATTAATAGGAGAGTTTCAATAATTAATACATTGCATATTGTTATCTTCCTGCTGGTCACCCATAGCACAAGGTGCTGACATAATATCCTGTCCAAACAGTATTAGTACAAATCTTTCCTGTCATTGAATTAAGAGACAGCAGCTGTATATCTATCCCAACCATTTTGTATATACAGATATAAGATGGTCATTTGTATAAGGGAAATTGTGTTCTAATGGATAAAATAATAACTTCACACAGAACTGTAACATGGTATGGCTCTTTTCATTATTAATGCTATTCTTCAGGGAAAGGATAAACCTCCCAGTTTAAAAAAAATGGAGACTGGGCATGGTGGCACGATTCATCCCAACACTTGGGAGGCTGTAAACAGGAGAATCACTATGAGTCCAATCTAGTAGTGAGACCCTGAACACGCTGTAGACCCTTCCCTAAGATACAAAAAAAAAAAAAAAAAAAAAAGTGACTATTGCTAGAATGAGTTAGTGAAGTATTTTTAAAACTGCAACTTAGGAATGCACACATGGGACAAGGGGAAAGAAGTCATCCTCATTGTATGTCTATTGTATGTTGGGTGATTTTACATATTGGACATTCACATGAAGGTTGTAGTCATGCCTTGTCTGCAAAGAAATGGCTTCTGGAGGTTGACAAACTTGCTAACTCTCAGAATAAACTTGTTTTTCTTGATATGCTTTGCTCTTTCTAGAAAGATAACCACAATAGGATACTATCTGAAACAGTTACATTCTCAATTTTGTTGTGGAACATTTGAAAATACAGACAAGTGTGAAGAAAAGCAAATTATATTATACCATCCTGACTGTTTTTATTCCTTCTATGAATAGCTTGGCTAGCCTCAGTCTTGGATTTTAAGTAGTCTTATATCTTCATTTTTCATTTAGCACATTTTAAATGTCTCTTCATATTATTAATCTAAAAATAAACACAGTTCCATGAAGTATTTTTCGTAATTTATTTAGCCACCCTTCCTTTGGAGAATAGTTGTACTGTTTTCTCCATCCTTTCTCGCCTAAATTAAGTTGAAGAAAACAAAAGCTTTCGTCAGCTTGACAGGCAGAGACACAGTAATAGAATTTTATTTTTATTTTAGAGAGTCTGTGTTTATGAGTAAACTATTCTGTCTCATGACTTGTTGGCTGCCATTCTTTTACCATTTACTTTTATGTAAACCTTAGACAACAGCACAACCTATATTAATGGATTAAATGAATGCTAGGCAATGAAATCTGGTGGGAAAAATGCAGGGTTATTGGAGTTTATTTGCAGTATGGCCAGATTTTGAGCTAGATGTGTAGCCTGCATTGGCCAAATTCTTTGGGTTTTAGGGTTGGCTTTTAGGAGCTTGCAAAGTAAATGACCTGTGACTTCCTTTGTTTTCTTGGAGGGCCTCCTTGGGTATGCGCAGGTTGAACCTAGCTCTGACATATTTTGAAAAGGCAATTGGAAGTGTTACCGCTGCCAAGGGTGATGGCACACCAGAGCTGATTGGTCCATATGAGGAGATTGCTCAGATTGAACAGCTGAGGCGGAACCACAAGCAGGCCATCCAGTACTTGAAGCAGGTTTGTGAGGGGGTGGGGTCCAGGCAGAGCAGCCTCACTGACCATGGTCCCAGGATCGGAGAAGTTTGAGCTTCTCACAACACAGGATGGAAATGCTTCCACTGTAACCCTGACTTCCCTCCACATGCCCATAAGTGCCTGTCAACAACTTTAAGTGACGTGGACAAAGAATGCTGGTTCAGGTGAGCATGACTGTTGTATGACCTCCTGAGGAGACAGCGTTTTCCCACCCAGGCTGCTTTCCCATCTCTCTCAGTGCTGAGAAGAGGAAACCACGTGTGAGTATACTCCAAGGAAAAATTAATTGAGGCAACTAAACTTAAGTCTTCAACAAACACAAAGAGGCATTTGAACTGAAATTTTTATTTTGGTACGATGCTGTCATTTGTCCTTTACACTAATCCACCTCGTTGTGTTTCCAAGTTTAAGGTTAAGCTAATGAAAGGCTGTTTCACTTGGAGATAACTAACTTGACAATGCTCAGGGGAAAATAAAATATAGAGAAGAATGTCAAGTCTATTGTATGAGAAGTTTAAGGCACCTTTGTGTAGCACTTCAATCTGTTAGTGAAATATGCCTCTTTTTCTTTTCATCTAAGAATGTTGCTTTTGGCTTCAGATATCTTCCATGGCCACAAACAGGGCAAAATGCTTTCTGTAACATAGAAAACTTACTCTAAACAGTCTGACAATCCAAGACTGTAAACATCACGCGATGGAGCAACGCTAGGGAATGCTGCTCTGAAGACAGCACTCCAGTGCTGACAGAGAAAGCAGTCTGGGTTTTGAGTGCAGTTCTTTTTGAAAACAATGGTAAGATCAGCATGGATAAAACAATAAATATCAGTGTTTTCCAACAGCAACAAAATCACAAGTTGGAATTTAGGGAGTGTTTCTATTTTGTGCCCTTAAGGATGTATTAAATCACCTCATCCATATGATAGCTCTATGGAGTAGGTATCAGTTTTATTTCATGTTAAGGAAAAGTGAAGCAGAGAGAGGGATAACTAATTCAGCTGAAGTTGTACAGTAACCAGTGTCAAAGCAAGAATTTAAACTCAGAAATAGGATCCTAGAGCCACAGCTCTGCTGTCTGTTCTCTAAATTGTTGTCTGAGAGCTCATCAGGCCTTGAAACACCTCACAGTTTGGCCTGTGAAATACTCAGCAGGGTGGCTTTCTTGCTGTTGGGTATGACTAGGTAATTTTACTTTTCTTTATCCTTCCTAAGTGTTATTCTTTCCATTTGAGAACAAAAAATAAAGTTTTATAGTGCTTATTACTTGCCAAGTGGTGGTATAAGCACTTTCCATATATGCATAATATTTACAACAACTGTTTCTGATTTATACTACTTTCATCATCTTCATTTTGCATTTGAAGGGTTAAGTGACCTATTTTATAACACAATAAGTGGCTGAGTTTTGATAGGAATTTAGGTAGCATTGTTGTAGGATCCATGGTTTATGACTGTCTTTAATGAGACTCTAGAGAGGCTGAGCTAATTTTAATTTTAATTTTATTTTATTTTTATTGTTTATTTTATTTTTATTGTTTTAATTTTATTTTTGCTGTGAAATCTAGTAAAAATAATATATCTAACATTTGTTAAGAACTTAGCATGGGGCTGGGGAGATAGCTCAGTGATCTGGCAAGCACAAGGACCTGGTTTTGATCCCTGGTACTACATACTATGCCGGCCCCACCCTGGGCACACTACACAGGCCACCAAAACCAGGCATGGTGGTGCACAGCTGTAATCCCAGAGCTAGGAGGGTTGAGACAAGAGGATCACTGCAAGTCTGAGATGTGTAGTGAGGCCCTGTACCAAATAAATAAAAAAATAAATAAACTTACCATGAAATGGATACTGTGCCTGGTGTGTCGCATGCACAAACTCATTTCATCTTTTGTAAGCCCTAATCAAGTTGGAACCGTGTATTTATTCTGATAATAATATGAAAGTACTTGCTCAAAACTCATAGCTAGGAAGTAATTTCTCTGGGACTCAAAGTTATTTGTTATGGTTTAAAATATAAAGTGTCCCCCCAAACTCAGGTATTGAAGATTTGATTATAAATGCAGTGGTGTTCATGAAGACATTAAGCCCTTCAACGGATTAACTCATTGATAAATTTATAGCTGAAGGGGCTATTAGTGGAAGGGTCCATCTAGAAGAAGTCAGTCCCTGGGCAGTGTGCCTTTGAAAAGGTTGAAGGGTATGACTTGTTCTAGACCCTATGTTCTCTCCCTCTTCCTCCCTCCTGCCCTCCCTCGTGCCCTCCATCCCTCTGCTTCCTGGCCACACTAAGGCATGCATCTTTCTCAGGCTGCCCCTCCCACCATGATGCCTTTGCCATGTGTGGCCTAAAGCAATGAAGCCAGCTGAACAGGGACTGAAAATTCTGAAACCATGAGCCAAAACTAATCCCTCCTTCTTGAAGTTGTTGTTTTCAGGTATTTAGTTGTAGCAGCAAAATGTTAGACAACATCCTTCATTTAATTTCCTGATTAACTATATGTTGGCTCTCAACCAACTAGCAATTTTATGAAAGCAACTAGAAAATCCATATTGAGATTCTGTCACTTGGGTAGTCATCTTGTCATTATTTTCTTTTTTTCCAGGCCTATTCTATCTGTGTTTCTTCATTCACTGAAATCAGCCCCCAAACCGCAGAGGCAGGCGCATTATTAGCCAAAGCTTATGCCTTGTCTGGAGAGCCCCAGCACAGGGGTAGGTAGAGAAGGTTTCTTTGTAGTTACTATTTCCCAGGGACCTATGGGAAGCATATTAATGAATGATCTGTTTATAAGTAAGACTATTATTCATGCCTGTTACAGAATGATTAAACCAGTTATGATTTTGTATAAAATCCATAACACATTAATTTGGAGCTGGTAGGATTCCCCAAATTAGAGCATCAGAATCAGTAAAGTCTACTTTTTTATTTCCTTTATTCCCTCATAATCTCAGCGAAATTCACATTTGTAAAACATATACAGCATACATGCTATGAGCATGACTTGTGATGTGTTGGTTGATGAAGAAGTCCAGCCACAGGCGAAGGGCACTGGCTCTTCCCCTCCTCCTCCCTTTAAGTCCCCTCGACTCTTTCCTATGGATTACAAAATATAATGTTTTTACAATTAGAATTTTCTTGACTTATATTCAAAGTGACGTCCTGGAAAGTCTAGAGGAAAGCCAAGTGATTAATTTGTCCTTCGACAACAGTCCTTTGTCTGGCAAGGTCATCTTTTTGAAATGGATGGCTGGGGAGAGAGAGGGAACTGGTGAGGGAAGAACGTAGCATTCCCAGCTGGCTGGATAGCATTAATGGATGCTAATAGAGTTCATGCCCTGTTAGGAAGACTATAGGATTTATGAATAGAGCAATTAGAACATTTTTTAAATATCTGGTTTTTCTGTTTATAAAAGCAGTCCATTTTGGTAATGTTATTTTCCAGTTACAGGGAGAAGGAGAGAGGGAGTGAAAGAGATTTATAGAGAATGTCTTATATCCCACTGTTTTCCATTCTTATATTCCCATGTTGTTAAATTTTTTCCAGTTTGCAGAAGTTTTGACATTTTAATGAACATTTACTGTTTTCTTAAGCACAAATGTTCATTGAAGACTTTCTGATTGTATCTTCTAGTGAATGGTTTTTTTCTTTTAAATTTTCCTCTTCCTATGTTCACACTGTATGTACTTATGTCCTAAAATATTTATTTTTAAATCGTGTTTGATATAAGAAATTTAATCACTATGTAGAGTATTTTTAGCTTTACCTGAAGAAAAAAACCCATATAATCTTGGGAGATTCTACAAACTTTCTTATCTTTTTCTTACATACTAATTTTTAATGTTAGAGAAAATTTATATTTACCTCTAGGTCATATTACTCATTAAATTACAGGTATATTAAAATTTTATACATCAAAATTTAAAATACAAATCAACCAGAAGAAAATGTAACACTGTAATAGAAGTTATTAAAATTAAAAATCGGATGAAAACTTTTTTTTTTAACTGGGAAAAAAAGTAGATATTTAGAATTAGCCAGCTGGACTCAGTTTAGATGATCCCAATTTTGTTGGCAACATGCAATGCATCATAATCAGGAGCCAGCCGAACATATGCCTTCTTCTCTCCATCAGGCCTGATTAGGATATTGACCTTGGCCACATCAATGTCATAGAGCTTCTTCACAGCTTGTTTGATTTTGTGCTTATTGGCTTTGACCTCCACAATGGACACGAGTGTGTTGTCCTCAATTTTTTTCGTGGCTGACTCTGTGGTTAAGGGGAACTTGATGATAGCATAGTGGTCAAGCTTGTTTCTCTTGGGGATACTCTTCCGAGGGCATTTGGGCTGCCTCCAGAGCTGCAGTGTCTTGGGACAGCAGAAGGTGTGTGACATTCATATTGCCTTCTTATTGTGGCTCTGGATGCCTTTCAGCATGGTCTTCTTGGCCTCCAAAGCTTTTGCTTTGGCTTCAGCTTTGGGAAGAGCAGGGGCTTCCTTCTTTATCTTTGGCGCCTTCTTGGTAAAAAAGAAAGAAGAAAACTTGAAACACACAAAGCTATACCATGAAAGACAAGGTTAACATTAAATTGCAAAAATATCTAAAACTATGTCTGGGCCAGGCATGAGGGGCATGCCTGTAATCCCAGCACTCGGGAGGCAAAGGCAGGAGGATCACTGTGAGTTCCAGGCCAGCTTGGGCTACAAAGTGAGTTCAAGATCAACCTGAACAGCATAGTGAGACCCTGTCCCAAAAAGCCAAAAAGAAAACAAAACAACAACAACAACAAAACTATGTCACAAAGCACTGTACATAAAATTAAAAACAACTCAGCCAGTATGAAGGGATAATCCGAATAGATCCTTACCTTTTAAAGAAAATTAATTTGTAGTTAGCCTACTAGAAATCTCCAGATGATATCACTGTGAAATTATACCAAATAAGTATTTAAGAAAGAAATAACACAATTTCTACATAATCTCCAGAAACTCCTAACTAACTTTACGAGGCCAGCATTACTCTTTTAGACCAAAACTGGGCAAAGACATTACAGGAAAGGAAAAAAACAAACAAACAAACAAACAAATTAGTACAGACCAATATTTTCATGCATGTAGAAAAATCTTAATAAAATATATAGTAAAATATATAGCAATATACAAAATAATATACTATAAATGAGTAAGGGTTTCTTTTTTCCTCAAGAATGTCGGACTGCTGTAATATTCAAACTTGAGTCAATTACTTTTATTGCATTAAGAGACCAAAGATGAAAATGAAATATCAATTGATGCAGAAAAAGCATTAGGTAAAATTTAACACCAAGTCATAATGGAAAGGGACTTCTTTAATCTGATGAAAGGCATGCTGAGAAACCTGAGAGCTAACACTGTATTTTGTGGGGAAAGATCCCTTAAGGTCAGAAGCAAGGAAGGGATGTATGTTTTCACATTTCTAATTCAGAAATCTTCACTAACTCAGTAAGACAAGAAAAAGCAATAAAAGAGAAACAGTTTAAGAAAAAATAATGTCCCTATTTACAGAAGACATGGTTGTCCCTATAGAAAATTCTAAGGAATGCTACAACTAAGAAGTGACATTAATGGGGCCTCGTAAACCCAGCACTGTGGGAGGCTGAGGCAAGAGGATTGGAAGTTTGGGGCCCTGCCTGACTGACTTAGTGACTTAAGGGAACCTTGTGTTAAAATAAAAAAGGAGCTGGAGCTGGAGCTTATTGTAAAAGCTCAGTCCTCACTACCAACAACAATAAAAATGAGATTAAGCTTAGTAAGGTTATAGACTAAAAGTCAACGAACAAAATGCAGTTATATTTTTATATAGTAGTAATGTAAAACTAGAAGCAATTTTTTTTTAAAAAAATAGCACTTTCCAGGTGAAATATGTTAGGTATTCATATGACAAAACACACAGGATTTGTGTTAAGTAAAGATTCTAGTTAAATAAATCAGAAATGACCTCAATAAGTGGTGAGATACACTGTGTATGGATTGAAATGCACATGTAATTTCTTCCAGATCTGGTATGTGGAGTTGGAGTTACTATTATCAGTTAAAAACCACATTTTTGTAAATATCCATGAGATGACTCTCAAATTTGTGTGGAAAAGCAAAGAAACTAGAAGAGCTAACATGATTTTGAAAAAAAGGGTACAGTTAGAAGAATAATAGTATCTGATTTTCAGTTGTAGGTGAGGAATCAAGAAAGTATGGTATTAAAGGGATAGACAGAGCTATCAGTATAATTACCACACACACCCCAAAACCCACAAATAATCCTACATAAGTAAGAGAAATTAATTTTGACAAAGATGAAAATGAAATTCAACAAAGAAAGGATGATCTTTCCAACAAATAATATTAAATAAGTGGGATCTCCACAGGAGATCGTGGAAATGAAAGACCCATACAAGGACTAGATAGGCTATTCCTCTTACGTAAATGCACATAGACTGAAAACTATATACAAGGATGGAGGATGCAAGAATCCAGAGGAAAGTAACAGCCGAGTGAGATTTGAAATGTGCTCCCCCATCTACACCCAGATCAAGTGACAACAGATAGGTCGCACCACTTAGAGGTATTTAAGTTTCTGCCCAAGTCAGTGGATCAAAATTAAGCTATTCCTTTGCAAGGGTTTTTCCCAGGAATCAAGACGAAGACTGAGAAACATTAAAACCTGAGAAAATTGTTTCCCATTTCTGGTCTGGCATGCAAGGGCCTTGGAAGTCATCATTTAGTCCTAACAAGTAAAACGCAAACTGGAAAGTGAACAACTCTTCCTAGGTCTGTCAAAGAAGTGAGATCATAGCACAAAACAATATCCCATGAACTGGAGGACTAGGCAAACCCCAGAGAAATTCAGGGTGCCAGAGTCGAAACCTCCACAGGAACCAGTACGAAGGCAGGAGAATCCAGTAAATGACAAAATGCTTGAAGACCAGTGTGGGGAAAATCTGAGATCTAATCTTAAAGGGATTGCCACACCTTTTATGGGTTTTTATTTCTAGGAGTATAACTGGATTCTTAAAATAAATTTTAGAGAAAAATTTGCTCATGCTTGTGTCAGAAGAAGAGGAAAAGTAACCACTTCAAAATTTTTACAGAACATTTTCTTCTTAATAAGGCCAGTTATCCATAAAAACTTTTTTGTAAAACAAAATCCTTAACCATTGGATTTTTGAGAGCCTACTGACCTGGGAGAAGGGAAAATATACAAATCCGGCTCTCTCTAGCTTTCTACCCTACAAAATAGAAATATCCAGCTCCAGTTCACCTATCCATCCTGTTTCCATTAAAAAGAGGGGGTGGAGTACTGATGGTCATTTTTAAAATGCACAGCCCAGAGATAATGTACAGGCTGTCTAGACCAAGACATAATCATAGAACTGTCGAGTTCTCCCCTACACTCACACCTTACCACCACGCTATCCAAGGCTTGCTTACTGTAGTTCTTTTTACACAATAAATCATGTCCAGGTTTCAAGGAAAAATTAGATGGCATATCAGAAGTCAAAAGACAGCACTTGACGAGACAGACAGAAGCTGAATCAAACTCAAATATGGCAGAAAATTCCAAATATGGAATTAATATGCAATCAGAAATAAGAACAATGACTAATATGTTACAGGTATTCTAAACAAAAACAAGTAGGCAGTATAAGTAAAGAGCTTAAATTCTGACATTCAAAAATAAAGATTAGAGGTCAAAATCATTGTACCTGACATGAAATATACCTTTAATGAACTCAATAGCAGACAGAATATAGCTGAAGAAACTATTTCTTGAGATTTAGAATATCTCAATAGAAAATTCAAAAACTGAAAAACAGAGAAAGGAGAACATAATGTCTAAAACTTGTGGGATAACTATGAAAAGATACACATGACATGTCAGTACCAGAAGGAGAAGAGAAGAAAATAGCAGGAAATATTTGAATGATAATGATTGAGAATTTTCTCAAGTCAGACCTCAAACTACAGATCAGAAAGCTCAGATAATAGTTCAACATTTGAAAATTATTGAATGCATCAGGCCAACAAAATAAAGAAGAAAAACCCCATGCTTATATGAGTAGATGTAGAAAAAGCATTTGATAGAATCCCAGCACTCACTCATGATAAAACTCTCAGAAAACTCAGGATATAGGAGGATTCCCTGTACTAGATAAAGACAATTGCTGTGATTTGACTCTGTCCCTTAGAAGTTCATATTGTGAAAGCTTGGTCCCCAGTGTGGGAAAAAGGGTTGGTGGGACCTAAAAGAGATGGGCCTAGGGGAAGGTCAAGGACCTAGTGAGACGAAGTGCAGCCCATGGAAGGATTTAATATAATTTTGTATGACTCTGATTAGTTTTTACAGAGAGTGATTTTAAGACAGAATGGTTCTACCCTGTTCTCTGGCTTCCTGCCTCATGATATGATCTTTCTGTTGCTGCTATCATGGTGACAGCCGCCAAGATGGGAATGTAGCTAGGACAGCCCTCACCCCAGCCAGCACCATGCTGTTTGGGCTTTCAGCCTCCAGAATAGATGCTAAAGAAACTACTGTTAAAACAAGAACAAAAACAACAACAACAACAACAACAACAAAAAAAAAACAAGAACAAAGAACTCAGCCTTAAACATTTTGTTATAGGAATGGAAAACAAATACTTAATATCTATAAAAAAAAAACAAAACTTGCAGCTAATATTATTATTAGTGTTGAGAAAGTATGAGTTTACCACTGAGATCAAGAAAACTTATTTTCGGTATCATATTGGAAGTTCTAGCTAATACAGTAACATAAGGAAATCAAAGATGTGTTGTTTTAGGAGTGAAAAAAATAAAACTGATTGTTTGTAGATATTCTTATATAACTAGAAAATTTGAAAGAATCAACAAAAACAAAAGCAAACCTTCTGGACAGTGGCATCATCAAGGCCTTCAGAAATATCCCAGGCATTACTCTGCTCAAAGTAAGCAAACTGAATATTTTGAAATTTGCTCCTGGTGGGCATGTGGGTCATCTCTGCATTTGGACTGAAAGTGCTTTCCAGAAGTTAGATGAGCTGTCTGGCACTTGGCGAAAAGCTGTTACCCTCAAGAGTCACTATAACCTGCCTATGCACAAGATGATCAATACAGATCTGAGCAGAATCTTGAAGAGTCCAGAGATCCAAAGAGGCCTCCGGGCACCACACAAGAAGATTCATTGTAGAGTCCTGAAGAAGAATCCTCTGAAGAACCTGAGAATCATGCTGAAGCTGAACCCATATGCAAAGCCCATGTGCCAGAACACCATCTTTGCCAGGCCAGGAATCACAAGATCTGTATGACTAAAGCAGCTGCATGGGCAGCCAAACTGGAAGAAAAGGAGGTTGCCAGCAAGAAGCCCGTGGAAGAGAAAAAAGGGAAGGAAGCTGCTGGTCCCAAGAAGCCTATGAAGAAACCTTTGGAGAAAAAGCCTGCAGCTCCCAAGAAACCAGCAGGAAAGAAACCTGCTGAAGAAAAGAAGCCTGCTGCATAAACTCTCAAAATCTCTATCCTGTACAAGTACTGTAAATTTGGATAGCTTATTTTGAATAGAGACCTGGTCAAAGAGGCACTAAGAAAAAAAGCAAACCTTCTGGAGCTTATAAGTGATTATAGAAAATATGTAAAATATTAGGTTAATATATAAAAGTCAATTGATGTCCTATGTATTGCTAATTAACAAATATATTGTGAAATTAAAAATAATACCTTCCATATTAGCACTCAAATGAAATAAGCATCATTGTTTAAATTAAATAAAATGTACATAAAAAATAAGAAAACTACAAAACATGATGAAAAACATCAAAGTAACAGATCATATTTGCAGATAAGAAGACTCAATATTAAGATATCAGTTCTTCTCAACTCAATCTACAGATTTAACTGAATCACCAAGCTATTTGGTGGATATTGAAAACTTACTGTAAAGTTTATGGGAGAGGCAATGGTGTGGAATAGTCAGTATAACACTGAAGAAGAATGAAGTTGGAGGACTGGTACCACGTTGCTTCAAATCTCACTCTACAGCCACAATCATCAAGAAATGTGTTTCTTTAGAAATAACTATGTATTTGAAGTACTTACAATTCCTTCTGTGTGTGACAGAGAGGGTAGAGAGAGAATCTCAGTAAACAGTAAATTATATCAGAGTTCTGGCTAAAAAATATAGTTTTGAAGAGCACCTGGAGTTTAATATGACACTTATTTGGGGTCTTAATAGAATTGTTTTAGACAAAAAAAAGGCAGAAGCTTTCTTTTCCCACATCAGACCCATGAATTTCATCATGAGAATACCACCTGAGGCTAGCAAATCATGTGGTGGACTTCTTGGTCCATAGGAGGCCTGAGATGAGAGCAGGCATGGACACTAACATTAAATTGTCAGTGGATCCAAAGAGGGTATCAGACAGTTGTGAAGGCTATCAACTTGCCTTACATTATTTTTTTTTTCCCAGAGGCTGCTGAGGTATATTTTGTAAAAAGTATCAATGCATATCAAGCAACACTAGGCACAAAGAATTGTGAAACATTAAATACCATTGAAGAATTTTGCAAGTGGCTTGCCCAGATTGGGAAAAAGCAGGTAAATACGTCTACTTCATAATCACTAATTTGTTTATTAGAACTGAGCAGTGTTTTTTCGTATCACAATTCAGAAACTGGAGCTGAGACAAATTCCGGGTAAAAATAGAAATAACATTCAGCACTAGTGATGAGTGGGACCTTAGTAAAAAAGTATTTTTCTTGGATCTTGGTCCCTGAAGTCCTGTCTTCCCAGAACATAAACTCTAACTTATTAATTTAATACTTTAAGTAAAAATTAGCGTCCACCTTTTGAATTTAACTATTGATCTTTTTCTTTCATAATATTGTTTTCCTCTGATATTCTTTTACACACAATTTTGTTTTCACATTATAAAAAGTTGTAGAACTACAAGAAAGGTGATGTTGTAAACATAGCATGAAGCAATTTCCCCGTAAGGTCAACATTGATCCTAGCCATTGAATTTGATTCAGTCCATATCCAATTCAGTTTGTTACCAGAACCATTGGAAGAATGAAGTTTGTGAACCGAGGTACTGATACATTAACATACAAAAGTCTGTCAGCGTAATACACCCATTTAACAAAGGATAAAAATTACAAGAAATTTATGAAATTGAAAACATTACAGTTGTAAAAATAGAAATTAACATAATAAAGGCAGTGTATACAAATCTCATAGTTAATCCCATATTTGATGCTGAAAAACTGAAAGTTTTTTTTTTTTTTTTTGTCTTGTTGAGACAGGATCTTGCTATGTAGTTCAGACTGGTCTGGACTCACAGCATTCCTCCTGCCTCAGCTCCCAAGTGATAGGATTATAGAAATATTCCACCATGGCCAGCTGACAGCTTTTTCTTTTAGACCAATAACATGACAAAGATGACCACTATCACTGGAAGTATTAGCCAAAACAATTAGGCAAGAAAAACAAAAGCATCCAAATAGGAAAGGATGAAGTAGAATTATCTCTGTTTGTAAAATGATACAGGGTCATGTAAAAACATGGAATCAGCACACAATCTAAGTACATATTAGATAAATTCAGCCAAGTTACAAGAGACTAAGTATAGAAAATCAGTTTCATTTCTGTGTACTAGCAATGAGCAATTTGAAAAGGAAAGTAAGAATCCAGTCCCATTCACCATAACATCAGAAAGCATAAAAATAGACATAAATTTATCTAAGGAGGTGAAGGACTGTATCCTGAAAAAAATAAGAAAATAATCTAATGATACGCAAGTTTTCCTCCTCTGAAAAATCCAAGGTACTATAGAGGCTTGAAATTCTTGAGTTTTTGCCAGTGTTTTTTAGAAAGCAGCATTTGATATCCTTTTTTGTATGTGTTATTTAGTGTGTTGTATAAAGGATGGTGATAACACGTCCAGATTCATTCTAAAGAAATGTTGTGTTAATGCATGCCGACATAGCCCAGGCACTGTAACATGTAGTTCTCCAGGTGTAGCAATAACTCAAGCTTTTCCTCCTCTCATAAACAATGTTCACTGTACACAGAGAGCTTGCTTGCTTGCTTGCTTGCTTTCCTTTTTCTTTCAACAAAATAGTGAAGAGTGAGCACTGAACTGAAAGACAGTCAGCTTGGGCTTGGTAACAAAGTAAGTATTACAAAAGAGAAGGGGAGGCCAGGCATGGTGGCCCACGCCGACAATCCTAGCGGTGGGAGGCTGTGGCAGGAGGGTTACTGCAAAATCGAGGCTAACCCAGGCTATTCAGCAAGACCTTGTTTCAAACAAAACAACTAAAAAGAGAAGGTGCAGAAAAATTGTTATAGATGAAGTAAGACTAAAAATTTATGAAAATTGTATGTGATATAGGACTTTTTATTATATAATAGATTTTTTAAAAATTATAAATAATAATATTGACCGAAAACTCTGCATATAGGATATATATTAAGTTAGTGGATTATATCTATATAAAATTGATCTTTAAAGAATTTTTTTTTTAGTGGTGGTAGGAATCAAACTCAGGACACTGTGCATTCTAGGCAAGCACTTTAGTAATGAGCTACATCCCAAGCTCACTGGTCTAAAATTTACTGAGTGATTATATTACTGCAGTTATACAGTACAGAGAATTATCTTGTTCTAAGAAAACATGTTCTTAAGTATTAAGTCTCTTGATGATTACAATTTATTTTCAACAAAGCTTATATGTATATATGTATTCATCTATATATGTGTGTATACTTTTTAAAGAGAACAAAATAAATCATATATGAAGAAATGGAAGCCATTTGTGAATCTAGCTGAAAATTTCCATATTCATTATACTACTCCAAGGTTTAAAACAACTTTAAATAAAAATAGATTAACAACAAAAGAAGACCGAGAGTTATGGAATTCAGAATTCAGGTGTTTGAGTCCTGACAGTGCCATCTATAGGCTGTATGATCTTAGACAAGATCTTTATTAACTTATCATTAATTCTTCATCTGAAAAGTAAGTAAAATGATTTCAATCACATAAGACAGCAGGATGATTAAATAATCATAACGTACATATGAATTAATGTATTTATTAGTAGCATGGAACTCCTCACACGTGCACATTAACTTAGGGGACACATCCTAACTGACGGATACTGCGAAATTCCGTCAGTAGTGCCATAGCGCGGCGCCTCCTCCACTGGCTCAGGATCTGCTCCTTCACAATTGCCAGTTTGATTTAAAAAAGAATTTCTGTTTTTAATTCCCCTAGGAGGCTTACAGACTGCTAAAGGCTTCACTGAAGTCCCAGGTCACCAGCTATGGAGACTGTAGTGAGAAAGTGGCTGAAACATTTTATAACATGGGCAGGATCTGCTTTGCCAAAGGAGAACTCAGAAAGGCAATCCAACTGCTGAGGAAGGTGAGCTGAGGAAGGATTCTGGTTGCTTGTGTTACATTTCTCCTGGGCTTATTAGCAAAATGTAAGAAATAACGTATGTATGAAAACTTTCTCTTGTCCCCTCCCCTCCTCTTCCCTCACTTCCCTTCCCGTCCCTTCCTCTCTGCCCTTCTTTCATTTCCTTCTCCCCATTCCCTCTCCTCCCCTCTCTTCCCTTTCCAAGATGTGCCACCTGTCAGGATACTGGTAGACACAAGGCTGAAGACTTAGTAAAACAGGTAGACACATTTCTACATAAAACTAAGTTTGTTCTAAGTCAGAGGAAAAGTCAGTGAAGATCAGCTAACACTCAAGTGAGCAGAGATCGGAGTCAGAAGCAGTCCACAGCAGTACACTGACAAACTTCAGAGTTAGCGAGATTTTTATCTCATCTTGGATTAACTTAATACAATACATGGTAAATAAGAGGAGAAAGGGAACCTTATTTTGAAGATCCAGAGGAAAAGAAACCTTCTGACAGTAAATTCTAGGAGCCACGATAACTTCTTCAGGGGATGCCTGAACATATATATGGCTGACAACTAATGGGGGCAGAGTCTTTGGAGAGGAAACCTGAGGCCCCAAAGGTGGTGAAACATGCTAAATGTGAAACATGGGGTTCCAGTGAAGCAGCACATCTAATAAAATTCAAATCCACATAAAAAATACAGAGCATATAGAGAGTCTGAACAAGCTGATGTTGAGAAATATAACTCAAATCTAGAATTCAATCAGTAAGAGCAAACTTGTCTCTGAATCATAGAGAAAGAGAGAGAGAGTACTAGTTTTAAAGAAACCCGTTTGGCAGATAGAATATACAGGATCATGTATGTAGATTTCTAGTGATTCTCAGGGTTATCTCTCCTGTGGAGTTCAAACTTCATATAAAAGAAATCCAGCCTGGGGCCGGGGAGATAGCTCAGTACAATAAACTATTCTACTGAGCTTATAAACTGATTTAACTGCCTGAGTTTAATCCCTGGTACTGCAGATAGATAGATAGATAGATAGATAGATAGATAGATAGATAGATAGATATAAATCCAGCCAGGTGTAGAAGTGCATGCCTGTAATTCCAGCCCTCTGAAGGATGAGGCAAGAGAATCACTGTAAATTGGAGGCCAGCCTGGCTTCATAGTGAGACCCTGTCTCAAGAAAACAAAAAGAAAAAACAAGGAAATCCAAGTTAAGTGTTGCTGGGCGGGAGTGAGGAGGTGTGGAGAATGCGCCAAGAGCCAGCTTACGATGGAACAAGCTTAGTTGATGTATAGCAAACTACACGTACTTGAAACTACACATACTTGAAGTGTACTGTTTGCACCTCCAGGTGCCTGTGAAGCCATTGCTGAATCATAATAATGAATATGATCGCCTCCTCCAAGACTTTCCTCATGTCCCTAATTCTACAGCTCCAGCACTATCCTCAGGCAATAACTGCTCTGCTTTTTTCACTGTAGATGCACTTGTATTTTCCAGAATTTTATGTAAATGAAAGCTTTTGCAGTTGAAACATTTTATGTGGTTCTTTAACCCACCATAAATATTTTCATATTCATCCATGCTGTGCGTAGCATCTGTATTATTTTCTTTGCATCCTTGACAAAAATTGATGTGTGTATATTTATTTCTGGAGGCTTTCTTCTGTTCTTTTGACCTATTTTTGTGCCAATACATGCTATCTTGATTACTGTAGACTTAAAACTCTTAAAATTGGGTTGTTTTCTATTTTTTTTTCCTGGTATCGTGGATTGCACCAGGGCCTTGTGCATGATAGGCAGGTATTATACCATGGAGCTACAATCCTAGCACTGTCAAAGTTGCTGGCTATGTTCTGGGATTTGCCTGAGGTTGCATAGAAGGTGGAGGCATGCTCTTAGGGAACTGACCTTGTAAAAGGATTTATTTACCTGTCTCAGGAACATGTTGGGTCATTCCATTTATGTAATTTTTACATTTCTTTCAGTAACACTTTATTGTTTTAATCTACAGGTCTTATATGTCTTTCTTTAGATGTAAATATTTTGTGTTTTTGATGCTATTTTAAATCTACCAGTTTTGAATTTCATTTTCTAATTGCTTGTTGGTATATAAAAATAAAATTGATTTTAATATAATGATCTTATATCCCATAACCTTGCTAAAATTGTTCTTTTAGTAGCTATTTTTCAGGTTCTATCAGATTTTCTGTATAAATTGTCAGATTACCTCATCTGCAGATAAATGCAGTTCTGTATTTTATATTCCAAGCCAACCTAGAAGATGATTATTCCTTTCCTTCTCTGCTATTAATCTGATCCAGAATATTTTTTTTCTACCAAACATGGTGATTTTCACCTTCAGATTTTTTTTTTTTTTTTTTTTTTTTTTTTTTTGCATCAGGGGTTGAATTTAGGACCTTGTGCTTGCCAGACAAGCACTTATGCCACTGAGCTATCTCCCCAGCCCACCTTCAGAATTTTGACTTAAATATATATATGTGGGTACACAAACACACACACCCCTTTTTAACACATGGAATTGTTAAAATGTTAGTTTTTATGTACTTCTTTAGTAGTTCTAATACCTCTATCAATTTTGAATTGTTTTGATTAGTTTTTCTCACTAATCTGTTTATTTTATTTATTTATTTTATTTTTGTATTTTAGGAAAGGGTCTACAGGGTGTTCAGGGTCTCACTATTAGATCAGATGCTAGTGATCCGCCTGTTTACAGCCTCCCAAGTGCTGGGATTACAGGCGTGCACCACCACGCCCAGTCTCAGTTGCTGTCTCAGCATGCCCCAGGGTCAGGGTCAGTGCGGCATGCCTGGGTATCTGGGATCGAAGCCCAGAAGCCCCAGCTCCTGTGCCTGCTTGCAGGTGCTTTAATCCAGTGAGCTATTTGGCTGGCCCTTAATCTGTTTATTTGAATGCCTAGTTGTCTTAGTTACTCTTCTCTCGTTGCTGGGACAAATACCCGACACTCAAAATGAAGGAAGGAAAGGTTTATTTAGCCCACAGTTACTGGAGGTTTCAGTCCATACTCAGGTGGGTTCAACGCAGAGCAGCACATAGCAGAAAGCAACCTTTCATGGCGGTGGCAAAGAGCAAGAGTACAAGGGAGGGGTAGCAGCAGCTCAAGCAGCTAGCTTCTCTTCCCACCTTACATTGCAATGCAAATTACCTGCCCAGGGTAGGGGAAGTACTCACACCTATGGGTACTTCCCAGTACTTACCCACCTATGGGTAATCCCAGCAATACTAAGACCCATAATCCCAGCCTTGGATCACACATAATCCCAGTGGATCATGAGTTAACACAAACTCTAGAAGTCCTCACCCCATGACTGCATGAGGCTTTGGGGGGACAACTAGACACAAACCATAACACTAGTTATCTTTGTTGTGATGCCAAACTGAGTATTTTATCTTGTCAGGTATGATATTTTTCTATTCTTATAAACATTCAAATTTCATTTTCCAAGACAAAGTTGTTTGCAGTTCAATTACTTGATAACTTGGTCCCTTCATGGTTTGCTTTTAAGGTTTTTTAGTTGAGATTAGACAACATTTAGTCAATGGCTAGTTATCCTCTCTTACTGAGACAAGAGCCTTTTGAGCATCTAACCTAGAGGTCCATAAGTGAGGAGGCTTTCCAGCTCGGCTGGTGGGAACAGGCACCACCCTGTTTCCTTTAGTCTTTCAGGTACTTCTTTCCCCAGCTTTAGGCAGCTTCCTCACATGCATGTCAGTCAGATCTCTGCTGAGCAGAGCTGCTGCAGAAGTCCGTGGGTCTTTTTCTGTGAAACGGTTTCCTCCTTAAGACTCTGCCTTATGAGTCTCCTGGGTCTCAGCTTTATCAGGGAATCTGGTGAGCTCCATTTAGCCCCTCTAATTGGTACTGTGGTCCAGAAACACCCAAAGCTTTTGTCATCTGAAGCAATCATAGGGTTTATCTCACTTGCTTTCCCTCTCTCAGGGATTGTGCTCTTTTATTGTTTGATGTCCAGTGTCTGAAAATTGTTTTATGCATTTTTATCTGTTTTCCTTTTTCTGTCTTTCTTCCTTGGCTGTTCCAGGTAGAGGATGAGTCTCATTCCTACTGTCACATCTTGGCTATGAACAAAGGCCAACAATAAAGGTTTTAAAAGGAAAGCTGCCTAAGATAAATGTGATACAGCATGAGAATAAAATGCAGCTTTGGATATATACATAGGTGTCATGTATCTCTAGCCATGTAGTTATAGTTATTTGGGAAATTCTTGTGAGAACCAGTACAGCCCTGTTTTAAGGAGTGATGTTAATTCAGTTTGTAATCTTTATCCATGTGGCAGTGGGGAGTTCAATAAAGTAGACTGTGTGTACAACATGAGAGATGCAGAAGGGAACTAAGACCCTTCCATGTAGATTCCTTGTCCTCTTTGGGAAGGAACCACTGTTGTTAGCACAGGCATTCCAAATGTAAACTTGGGATAGCCCAGTTCCTCTCCTTAGCTTGGTTTGCAATCAAAGATCTTGGATTCTCTTTAACCTGTTAAGTTTCTCATTTTACCCACAGTGTCTGATGATTCAAATATTTATATATGGAAATGATCATAGTAAAAGCAGAGAGACAACAAGCCTTCTTACCCTATTGCACAGGTAAGTTCTGGCTGTCAACCAGGTGATCAGTGTGAATATATACCTAATATAGTATCTCTCTAATTCAACCAGTAGGGAGATTCAGCCAGTAGGGTGATTCAGCCTTGTTGTCATTATTAGAGAGGCAGAATCCTGCCTCTGCGATGGATTTAGCCAGTGGATAGACTATCACTTTAAATAGTCTCTTAAAACCCAGTATTATAGGGGTCAGCTTCAGTGATATTATTTTTAATATACCTTTCATTGCTGAACATTATGACCAAATCCTTCAAGGTCTTTGCTGACACCATCTTGTAGGAATGGGGTGGATTTATACATAGTCAATGAGTACATTCAAATTACTTTTGTTGAATATACAAGGTCTAGGTCCCTAAACATAAGGCAAGTTATTGTGTTTCTGTGTTTGGTTGGTTGGTTTTTACTTAGTTATCATTAAAGTTAGTAATGAAAATGTTTCTTCTGGTTCTTTTTTAATGTTTAGAATTTAAGCCAAAGAGATTTTTTTGTGTGCTTACTTGCTCTATTCTGTACTTTTCACATGTCTTTAATATTTGTTCATCTCTGTCATAGTTGACCTTGAAATGTTGTTTTGTAAGAGAGAAAGCCATACATGAAGCCAAGTATGGGGCACCTGCCAGTAATCCCAACACTTGGGGTCTGAGGCAGGAGGATTTCAAGTTAAGACCAGCCTTGGCTATGTAACAAGTTCAAGACTACCCTGGATTACATAACCAAAGCACTTCCTGAGAAAAATTTAAAATTTAAGTGTACACTAAATCCCTAAAATGGAGGTAGGTCCTGATTGTATTTTATTTACACTTCACAAATAGCATGAAAGTTCTCATTTGACAGAAAAAGTCATTATGGTCTATAAAAAATTTGCTTAAATCCCATTCATCTATAGAGATTTGGATGCAACTAAGTGCAATCTTCAGGACCATGTGCTTTGTTTCCCCTGAGAACCCTCTAAGCATGGTTATGGGTGAGAGTTAGGGCCCCTGATAGCGTTTACCAGATGTGACTCAAGCTGTCCCTCCTTGGAGGGCTTACAAGGCTCCACCAGTGGGAGAAAAGATGAGTATAGCAAGCACTTTCAGCACTTGCTGTCTGCACCCGCTCAGAGCTACCCCTGATGTGGGCTTCATAGAAGGCCATCACCTTTATATCATTTGCAGAAGACAGGGTTCTCTGCCTTCTCCTGTAATGCTAAGGAATATACTGAGGACAGGGCAATATGGGAAAATTGTATTCTAGCTGCCAGGACATCTGAAAGCATAATTTTAAAATCAATAACCATAAAAATCTGAATACTACATTATAGAACTTCTACTTTTTGGAGTTTATTAAATTATGTATTTATACATGCTATTTCTAATCCATAAACTGCACTATTAAGTACCTATTTTTTTCTCTTTTGTTAATTTAGGTTCAGGAATTTGGGGACACTTATTAAAATCATCTAGCTGTAGTAAGATCTGAACCTAAGTTGATCAGATTTCAAAACTGCTTTTTCTGAGTTGCAGATATAAGCAAGTGGTAGAGTACTTGCCTAGCATACCGAGGGTCTTGGATTTAATTTCTACCACTACACTTAGGCAAATATTAATGTGCTTTCTTTATGTAATAGGAATTTTGAGTTTGAGGAATTTGTGCTTACATATAGGCATACACCTGTTCAGCAGGTAAGGCTTCAAAACCCATTTTACATGAGGAGAAACCAAGAATTGATTTACTGTTATTTTGCCAAGGAAAAGGCAGAGCTGAGATTTTCCTGCAGGTCTCTCTGGCTCTCTGTTTAGAGAATGTATTTTCTATAGGAAGTATAGCTTACGCACTTGAGCCAGATTAACTGGATTCTAAACTCAGGCTCCAACTCTCACCCTTCTGGATAGGAGAAGTTACTTAACCTCACTCAGTCTCAAGTTGTGCATTGATGAGATGATAGTATCTTCCTCAAGAAGTGGGTTTTCTCCAGTGAGCTCATATATAACGAATGCAGCCCTTGAATAAGGCCCTGACAGGTCTTAAATGTTCCAGGAATGTTGATGTCATAATAATAAAATAATAATAACAACAGTAATTCTCTTTATGAGGTTATAGACATATGAAGTCACAATGTTTAAATAGGAGGTATCTATGTATTTCTCTACTGTTATTTTATACTAACGGCAAAGGGTAAGGTGTATACATGACTAGAGTCAGACCTGTGACCATAGCCTGTCTCTGCCAGTTAGGAAGTTGGTGACTGTGGGCAAATCACTTAACCTGCTTGAGCCTTAGTTTCTCCATCACTAAAATGTAGATAATACTAAAGCACATCGTTGTTGTGAGTTTTAAATAAAACCATGTGTCTAATGTGCACATTATAGTGCCAAGAGGAGTATATGTAATCAACACACTTCCCCTCTTCTGCACAGAACATTGCCTTTTGCTTTCAGAGAAACAGGTCAGAATATTCAAAATCAGGAATAGTTGCAACCAGTATGGCCATATGTTATGTCTCTGGCAACTTAGTTGAGGATTTGAATCTCTGAACATACATAAAATACATTTTGTGGTGGCCAGCAAGATAGTTCAGCGGACTGAAGCGCCTGCGTAGGTAAGCTTAGGCAAGTTCAGGGACTGCAGTTTGATCCCTAGCACACATGCCACACCAGCCCCACCCCGCAGGGTGGGCTGAGCCTGCCAGAGTCTGGGCATGTGATGCACACCTATAACCCCAGTGCTGGGGAGGCTGAAAGCAGGAGGATCACCATGAGTCTGAGCTGCATAGTGAGACCATAAAACAAACAAATAAGTTAAAGAAAAAAATATATTTTGTGTTTTGAAGATAATAATTATGAAACTGAACGAGGTAAACATGTAATTTTAGAGATGAAGTATATGATATTTCCTTAAAACTGAAGCAAATGTTTTACTCAGCTTGGATGTAAAGAGTCAGTCACAGTGACAAGTGACTATTGTCCCAGATACTTGGGAGGCTCAGGCTGGAAGATTGCTTGAGCCCAGGAGTTCAGGGCCAGCCTGGGCAATACAGCAAGACTCCAAACCTTAAAAAAATACAGAGAAATTTCAAGAGAGCTGAAGTAAACAAGTTTTCTCAGGAGCCTGAGGTTGCTTTTCCTTCCAGATTTATTGTTTCTTATCTATGAAAAGGAGTGACAGGAGTCAAAAAAGCAGAAGAAATTAGGAGGCACTGGTGTAACCTAATTCAGATGCAGTTAGTATGAGATTCATTAGGTGCTTAAAGCCGAATTATTCTCTCCGTTAGTGACAATTAGTCCTAGACTTACCAAGGAAGACCATATAAGGGGACCAAAGAATCTCTTGAGGAACTCTGTTGTAGCAGAGTAAAGGTTTTCCCTTCCCTGACACGAACCCCTATCTCATTCCTCAAGAACTGCTGAGCAAAGCCATAGGAGTAGCTGCCAAGACCCAGATGTCAAAGTGCAGTGCAAGAATTGTCTCTGCTTTGGCATTTTACTGGAATAATCAATCCCAGATGTCTTGCAGCTCTGCTAGCTTTCCAATGTTCTCTTGTGTGCTTTTTACTCCACCTCCTCCAGAAACTCAGTGACAACACTCACTGTACTTTCATTGCCAGGAGCTGAATTCTTGGCTTTGAAAGCCTCCGCAAAGTAGTTAAAGCAGAACCAGCACTTTGAAATACGAGCCTATTCCAAGGTGAAATGATTGCTACAAAGGCCTCAAGATTTTAGTGCATAGAAAAGGTGCAGAAAATCTCAGCATTGGGAAGAAACTTTGTTTAGTCTAATTTTTTCCTTACTTACAAATATGCTTTAGTTTAGTCATTTATGTATTAAGCTCTTCCTTTTAAGAACTACAAATGCTAATACATTTAAGACATAGTTCTTCCGGGGAAAATTGAGACACATGACCAAATTACAAATTAGTTGTAGTAAATCTGTAACAAAAACATAAACAAAAAAAGGACAAGGAATAAATCTTGGGGTTTGAAATGTGAGCATGCTGGTTTCAGGCAGTGTTCAGGGTCTGCAAACAAATATAGAACACAGTATCAGCAAATAGAATAGAAGCCAGAGGAAAGTATTCCAAGTATTATGAATAAAAGCATAGTGTCATAGAGATACTTGATACTGCTGAAGAAAAGCATATAGCCTTCATTAGTTGTAGTTTCTTTGTCTTTTGTGACTGGCTATGCAGTTCAGGCTGGCCTTGAATTAAGTATGCCGCCCAGGCTGGCCTCATCGTCAGAGTTATCTTCCTGTCTCAGCCTCCCAAGTGCTGGGATTTTAGGTGTGTACCGCCACAGACAAAGAGTGCGTGTATTTTAAGCTATAGGCATAGAAGGAAGCTACAGATTAAATTGGAAAGAAAGATCAGAGCAGATTATGGAACTATTATGTGCTTTGCTAAAGAAAGTAGAACTTATTTGAGAGGCAACTATCAGAGTTTTGAACAGAATGTGACAAGTTTGAACATTAACACTGAGAGCAATGGGAAGGATAGCAGGACCCAAGGAGTCACGGAAAGATTAGTTAGAAGGCAGAAAGAATAGTCCAGGACAGCGATGCTGAGGTCTTTAGTTATCTAAAGGCACGATATGTGGCATGTAAAGCGAATGGGTTGAAAAGAATTCAGAGTCTGTTGACAGGCCTTAGAACTGATCAGATGTGAAGTAAAATGGAAGCAAGAATCAGGATGCTTGGAAATTTCTAGTTCAGTAACTGTGCAAATGGCAGTGCTGCTAACTAAAATAGTATTGGTGAAAGAAGATCATCTTGAAGAACAGATATGGGAACTAACGGAGACAATGACTTCTGTTGTGGCTATGTTATGTTTGAGGCACCCACAATCCATCTATTTGGCAATGTCTAGTAAGCTGTTGGCTGTAAAGATCAGGAATTCAAGGAGTTAAATTCTGAAGCCAATGGAATGCATAAGCTAGCTGCTGGAGTAAGTATATGTTGTCTCAGTTACTCTTGTCTTATTGCTGGGACAAATACCTGACACCCAGA